CGGTTTTCTCGTCTTCTTTAAATATTAGTTTAATGTACAACACTTTTTTTATGCCATCAATCAGTCAGTCAATCAATCACTCAGTCAATCAATCCCTCAGTTATATTTAATCAACCAATCAATCACTCATTCCATCAATCAGTCGTTTCTTACTCTTTCAATCACTCCCCCACTCGCTCTATCTGTCCAGACATCGATAAATCAATCAGTCAAACAATCAACCAGTCGCTCGATATCAACGTGTTTTAATGGTGCGAGCCATGAGTCATATGCAAACTGGAAGACAAATGTTATTAAACTGGATGAGGTGATACCGTATTCTAGTCATCAACTACAGTGATCGATTAACAGTATACAATCGTTAAATGACACCACAATTTTGATGGACCCTCCTGAATACAGGACATGTAAACTTCCGCTAAAAAGTAGAATTACTTCATCGCGTAGCATGAAAACCATGGATATATGCATGTAATAAAATACTTTGCATTTCATTCATAAAGACATCAACGTCAAGTTTAACGAATGACGATATTTCCATGTGGATTAGCCACACCTTTTAAATGGTTTTTTGTTGTCTTGTTACTTTCCGCATGGGTCAGGTAATGCGTTAGGAAAGTAACAATTAATTAATTAATTAATTAATTAAAATTAATTAAGATTAATTTAATTAAATTAATTAAAATTAGATTAATTAATTAAAATTAATTAATTAAAATTAATTAATTGAAATTAATTAATTAATTAATTACCTAACATGCGTTAGGTAATTATTCCTTGTGTTACCATCAAGAAAAGAGTGAACACTGCTGCTGGTGAATACCAGTCCGCGACACACAATGCCAAAGATGTGCGGTATTTCACCAGAACACTGCGTACAAACCTGTTTGACCAGCTTTCAAAGAAGAGACCCTGCTGTATTATGTGTTGTGGACGCTCGATGTTGCACAATGCACAACATGAAATGAGTTGGGACTTACTTCTACTTGCAATGCAGCTTTATAGTAACTCGGGAGAGCCGAGAGATGAGAAGTAGACCCAGGGAAAAACAGAAAATTATGTGCTGCCAGGTAGGAAGGTTAAGAAACGACGACAGTCTGCGACGCATTGGACAACGTCGGTTAAAAATGAACTTATATTTTACCTACAAGCCTCGCCATACACTAAAGTCATTTAGTTTGTTTCTCACAGGAAAAACTATTCCAAAACTGAATATACATGACGAGCTTTGCCCACCAAAAAAATTTATGCAAATTAGGCTAAGCCGGATCTGAGTTCCGCCTGGCAATTATTAACTGTAAGAGAAGATCTCAGTTCGCGCCCACAGCACGTTCAAGGTGTTGCGGATGAAGTTTCTGTAATTACTTTTTGGCACTTTTCGGCGTCAAAATTGCATAGTTTGGGTAACCCAAAACCCTTAAGCTGACCTTTCTTGTCATAACACGAATGTTTTCCAGAAAGGGACACGCGGTAATGTCGGTGTCTCTCGTGTGCAGGCATTTTTCCAGGTAAAACCCTCGCGTGGAATCAACTCATGTTTAATTTAACGCTCCTTTTATGCGCACAATGTAAGCCAAAGCAATTTTATAGTTAAACGTAAAGATCAGAATATTTTCTTCTAAGGATGATAAATGATCGACGCTGAACTAAATTATACG